ATGAAACTGATGAATTCATGGGTTTGGATGAGTGCGGTGAAATTAATAAGTTTGATATTAGAAAATTCCCCCTTTTATCTGTTTTATAATGCTTGTGGTTTGTCAAGTGTACTGACATTGCAGTGTGGCCAATTTTGACATCATTAGTGTGAAGAGTTATTCTTTTTAGAGAATCCTGTTTGGGCTTTGGTTTCTGTTTTTCGGGATGCATATTTGCTTATATGCTACATCTAAATATGCTAATTTCATGTTTTAGAGGATGGAACCAGGTAACGAGCAAAGTCTTGGTTTTTGTTATACAATATAAGAGGGGAAAGCTTGAGTAGAAGTGGAAATAGATGGTTATATAGGTACGAGACAGGACTGTTGGGGGTGTGGACTTCGGAGTCTGGTTTTAACCTTTTTTGAGCTGTGTGGCAGTTTTAAATGAAATGATTAATGAGAGAGGAAATGAATCCAATGAGCTGCTTAGTTAGAATTTAAGCATTACTGTCTTTTATTTTATGTTTATCCTTTATACATTCTTTTTATTGAAATTTTTTGAGGCAGTATCCACGGACAGGACTGCAATTTCACCGTCTACTAGCTTCTATGAAGACTGTGGAGTCCTTTTCTTCAAATTTGAGATACCTTAGTCCATAAAGGAGATACTTCTATATAAAAGCAAGAAAGATTCTCCTTTTATTTATTTTTTTAAAAAAATACCTCTGGCAATAATATTAATGGATGATTTATCAAGAGCATCTCTATTTCTTTTCTTGAATGGGTTTCACGACCAATGATTTGATCTTCCAATGGAATTCGCGTTTTGATAAGTAAGCTTCCCATTATTCATAGAATTCGTAAATCTTTGTATAGGAGTGACTAGAAAGATGTTGGTCATTTGAACTGTGGGGTTTGCCGATGAAGTAATATAACCACACTGCAAAATGAATACTGATTTACCTACACACAACAGAATGATAGGAACAACTAACATGTTTGTCTTCAATGTGGCTTTTAGTTTTGGATTTGATCGATGGCGTAACTGTTCTTTTGGCAGATCACCACATAAATGGCAGAGGGTAAGTAGACATTCAACCTTTTGTTTGTGACAATGGAATTGGAATGGTTTAGGTAATAATGAAGTTAGCAAATATCTTGTGATTTAACTTCGAGTGAGATCCCTACCTTCTCATTGTATGCATTTGGCTCTCCTGTCAATGAACTATTTTATATTGATGGATAATTGATATTCTTTTAGGCTAGGTTTGCTGGAGATGATGCTCCCAGGGCTGTGTTTCATAGCATTGTTGGTCGGCCAAGTCACACAAGCATGATGGTTGGCATGAGACAGAAATATGCATATGTTCAGGACGAGGCCGCCCTGATATATAGTACACCATTGATCATGGTATTGTAACTGGAATGAAATGGAGAAGATATGGCACCATACATTCTATAACAAACTCGGTGTTGCTCCAGAGGAACATCCAATTCTCCTCAGAGGAACCTCTCTACTCAAAGCAAATCGTGATAAGACGACTCAGATTATGTTTGAAACCTTCAACTTCACTGCCATGTAGGTTACTCTCCCGGCTGTTTAATCTCTGTATGCCAGTGGTCATACAACCGGTTAGTCATTCAGTTGATGACTATTAGTTCTGGCTTTCTAAGATATGATGCAATTGTGATAGCCATTTGTCATGTTGAGTCATTTGAATTAGATTAATACATATGAAAAGAAAAATGACTGGTACCTTGAGATTAGTTTCTGACAGAAGAAAACTATTTGTTTTTTAATTGTATTCTTCATTAGAATTAGGAAATATTGATGGCTGGGAGACGAATATCAAAATATCATCTCTCTAGTTGTATTACATGCTTTCATTCAGCAAATAGGACTTGGGCAGAAACTCTGTGCAAGCTATTCTTGAGATGCATATTCTATCATTTGATGCGATGATTCAACTAGAGACTTTTTTCTCCTTATATGCATTATCAAGTGCATTTGATGTAGGTATTAGGTGGGAATACATGTCCAGTTTATTCATTTTGAATATGAATTTGCACACATGTTGAAGGCATATTGTAAGTTTTTGTGAGGTGGTCATTTTATAGGAAAACATATGTGAATCTGAAACTGGGAAAAATTTCTTGACCAATGATAAAAACCATTTTTACTTTAAGTTAGATTTTTAAAGTTATGAACAACGAATGATGTGCTGATCCAAGCTCTCCAGAGGACACATATACAAGCTTCTGATATAATGGTTATTATGATGTTTACCGGATGATTTGATTCAAAATTATTTCTTATATATGCCAACATAAAGTAACCCTGGCCTTCTGAGTAAATACTAATGATCTGAGCCTGTAATGTCATGCCGGTTTAAATGGAAAGAGATAGGCTGGTGCTTCTCCTGCAGGTATAGTTATGGACTTCGGAGATGGTGTTAGCCATACCGTCCCCATTTATGATGGTTATGCTCTTCCACATGCTATACTTCAGCGTGACTTGCTGGTCGTGATCTCAAAGACCTGTGAGCAAAAATTCTCACTGAAAACGGCTGCTCTTTTGTTACCTCTGCTGTGAAGGAAATTGTTACGGACATGGAGGAGAAATTAGCATACATTACTCTCGATTTTGAGCAGGAAATGGAAACATCCAAGATGAACTCTTCCGTTGAGAAGAACTCAGAGTTATCTGATGGTCAAGAGATTACTCTTGGGAACGAGCATTTCTGATGCCCTGAAGTTCTTTTTCAGCCTTCAATGATCGGAATGGAAGCTGCTGATATCCAGAAGACAACATACAATTCTATCGTGAAATGATTGTACATAGCGGTGGTTCCACTATGTTTCACGGTATTGCAGATAGAATGACCAAGGAAATTTTGGAATTAGATCCTAGCAGCATGAAGATTAAGTCCTTGTTTGATAACCATTCTTTCTCATATTCATTTTGAATCACACATTCTCACAATAAAATATTATTCACGTAAATCCAAAATTTTTCCTTACGTTTTAATCACACATTCTCCCAAAATTTACTATTCAAAATTCCAAAAAAAAATTCTATCAAACAGGGGCTAAGGTAGGGGCTCCACATGAAAGGAAGTACAGTGTTTAGATTGGGAAATCCATCTTAGCATCCCTCAGCACCTTCCATTTCAACATGTCTGCCTGTTTGTAAATCAATTTTCGTGTACATACGCTGTTTCATACTTTAAATATGTTGGGAACAGGTTAGAAGAAGAGGGATGAACCAATGAATATATCTGTTCAGGTATTTAAGAATCGAACTGCTTTGAATGTGTCGGTAAATCTAGAAATTCAATCCCAAATTTATTAACAAAGTTTAATTTGTTGTCGATATATTTCACGGAAGCATTTTACAATGTTAGATGATGTACACAAATTTGACCTTAAACACAAACATGAAAATTATTAAAATTCAAATATTATGTTCATGTTGGTGGTTTTTTTTTTTTTTTCTTTTTTTCTTTTTTTTTTTTTTTGCTTCATACAGAAGAATAATAATATTCTTTTGCTAATTTTAGGAACTGTATGTCATTGATGATGTCTGGTGCTTCTCGTGAACAAGTCAAATGTTGAATTTCATTTAAAAAATTCTGTTTTTGTGCATTACCAAAATTTTCAAATTGCTACCTTCAATGCTGTGATCTCAAAGATTTCTTTTGGTCAAAGATGACAATTTTAGAGTTGAGATCTGCTCTTAAGACACGGCATTTTAAATTAACCTTTCATCAATTTGGTGTGTTAGTAAATGAGGATAAATTTGAGATGATATATTAATTTAAGAGTTTGTTTAGGAATGATTTTGAGAATTGATTTTTTGACCGTTAGAAGAAAAGTGGGATCCACATGTAAGAGAAAAAGTCAAATATGACGATTGGAATAGTGAAACAACGGTCAAAAAAATCAATTTTTTGGGTGAAAAAATCGCTCTCAAACGGGCTCTAAAAATGATGTGTTAATTGAGTAGACAACAAGTTGAACAACAAAAATTGAACAGTAGATCTCAACATATACTTTTACACAGTATTCTAAAAAGTGTAATAGAGGTCAAGCTTGATGTTTTCTTATTTTAATATTATTTTAAATTTTTAAATCAATCTAAAAATTATTTCAATAATTGAAGAAAAAAAATGTAAACAAAAAAAAAAGCTTTAACAAAGCGCATCTAGGTGTGACTAGGCTTGAGAAAAAATTCAATAAGCGCAAAAATTCAGTGAGTAGAATTAGTCACATTTTTAGTAATTTCTTGATTTAAGGTCGATGAAATGCTTGATTGAAAGGTTGATAAACGTTGTGAATTTCATAAATTGTGTAGTTCAAATTTATTGTTGATTTTTATTTAATTTTTTTTATCGAACGTTTGAGTTACAACAAACATGGACTAAGTAAGAAGTGTGACTAGAATCATTAACAAAAATTATAAACCAACCCAGATTTGAGTAAGGTTGGCAACTGTCGGTTTGGCCAAAATCATTATCGAAACATCAATTTTTTGGCCATATCATGACCGCATCATAGCCATGTAAGTCGGTTCGATCTAACTCGGTTCAGCTCATTAATAACTACGAAAATAAATTATTTTTTATAAGTTCAGCCGTCAAATTGGAAAAAAAAAATTTGTGAAAAAAAAGTCAATGAAAAAAAAATATAATACTAAGCCAATTTAGTAACAACATCCCAAATGAAAATGCAAACAATATCCCAATTCTCAAATGCAAAATTCGAATTTAATAAAAAATATTATCAACATAACAATACTAAAAGATATTCTTGTCCCTTGATCCTTGTGCATCGAACTTGATTCCTACTCAATAACTCAAAAGCTCCAACCTCAATTCATATTCAATCTCCATTCTTTCCCATAACTCTTACTAATATAAGTCAAAACTCAAAGTTAATTCCTATATAGTAAATAAGAAATGTGAGTAGAATAATAATACAACCATACTACCTAATTCATAATGGTCTTAATTGAAGATTTAAACAAAAGAAAAAAAAATTGTACCTCTTAGTTGAATAAATTATGGTATTACGAGTCATTTATAGCCCCCTGTTTAGCTCCCATTTTCTAGAAATGAGAATAAGTGGAATAGTATCTTTTTGAAAATTGAGTGATTGAAAAAGAAGGAAAAATTTTTGATATACGTGTAATATTATTTTATAGAATATTATGTGGTT